GACATTTACGAGATTCCAACGGAGGCTCAGCATCTCGTCACATAAAATCCACACGTGCTACCCTCTGCCTCTTCCGTATCCACGTGCTGCAGTTTAATATTCAGGGAAACCATTTTGCCATTTAACACGTTCCCTGCCCAGCTGAAATGGAGAACGTACTCACCATCCAGCACTAAATACCCCCAAACTCCCTCCAATTCCTTCTTTTCCCCCTACCCCGTCCTACAGAGACACACAAACTAATGCCACCACCCCGCTTCAGACCACTCCCTTCTCTTCCTTGGCGCTCAGACATGGCTCCTGGCTAGCAGGTTTCTTTTGTACCAAACATGCTCCATGTGACAATCATGTTTGCAAACCATCTTCTGCTTGCGCGTCGGTCTTACGCTCTCTTACGTCTACTTACGCTGACTGCTTTCTTTGATGGGATGCGCTGAGAGCTGTTCTTCCCCTATTCCGAACAGTAAAACACCCAATAGGGAAAACTTAGTGAGCCAGAGATAACAAAGTGACTCAAATAAATCCTCCTCGGAGTTTCATTAGCGTGGAAGATGAGTCAAAGCACTTGACTGTGCTGTGAAGGGTAGAAATGTAGCTGACGGCAGTGACAGTCCTCTTGTTCCGCTGGTCCTCACAGTAAATCTATAGTAAACATGCTTCTGGGGACAAAGGGGAAGAGGCCATCACTCCACTTCTGAGATCTGCATTCAGTTGCCTTTGTGGCTGGAACCAAGACCTATCAGACACGGTAGAGATTTGGGAAACTTCCCTTACATGAACTGGGTCATATTCGTGACAATGGAGCTGTAACCAGACGCAACTGTTCATAGAAAGTGACAAAGGAACACACACCAAATGCGAACAGTAGTTGTCTCTGGGATTGCCAGAAAACCTCACTTTCTTCTTGGTGCTTTCATTTCCCCCAAATTTCTATAGAAGATACAAACTCCTTTTATAATCCAAAAAAAAAAAGTTATTTAAAAAGGTAAACTGGCTGGTTAAAATAAATTCCAAATGTATACACCCAAATTCTCAAAGGCTCACCTGGAGGGTCTGTGTGACTCTGGAACCAGGCAACTTGGATTTAAATCTCAGCCTTGCCTCTTACTGTCGTGTCCTTGGGCAGATTTCTTAACCTTTCTGTGCACCGGTTTCCTTATCTGTAACACCAGGATAACAGTATCCTCCTTACAGGGTTGAATGAGTTCATCTCCAGGAAACCCCCAGATCAATGCCTGGCACAGAACAGTTACACATTTGCTATTATTGTTGCCACTGGACTACCATTGTGTGAAATGTTCTTGGACCACCTGTTGGGGAGTATTGTATTCAGGATCTTACACACATGCCCTTGAATCATCTCAGCGTGAATAAAATCTCCTCCTTTGAAGATGTGCCGGTTCTTGGGAGCAGGTGTGCTGTCCGGGGTTCGAAGTACAGTGTGCTTCTGTTCTTGTGTCATTCATCTACTGCCTGTGAAGAAGTCTAGAAAATACACATGCGCGCGCGCGCACACACACACATACACACACACGTACACACAGAGATAATTCAGCACCATCTAGGGCGTGATCAATCCCTGGGTAACTTTCTGCTAGAGAGAGATTAAAAAATAAGCTTTAATTATGAGACCTCTTCATTCAATGGATCTAGACTTTACGTACTAGGCATACCAACCAAAGGGCAAATTTCATAAAAGGCTGATTTACATTTAAATTCGAGCCTTTTCTTCTTCCTCCAAAGTTTGCTGATGCCGACTTTTAAGTATGAGATGTCATTGTTTTCACACAAATATTCCCAAACATTACCAGTTGTCATTTGGCGTTAAATAGGGTTGCGACATTACAGTGATAACATTAGCATTTTTAAAAGCGTAACATCATTGTTCTGTAAATTGTTGCAGGCTCAAATTACCGTACACATCATCTTTAAAAAAAAAAATTAATGGGGCACTGGCATCAAAGCCAGTTAAGATTGGATGAAAAAAATGGCAGCCACCCCTTCTGCTGGGACTCTAACGGTCTTGCGCGAGCCCACTTATCGCCCTAATAGAACACGGCCCAGTGGTCTGCCCCACCGTGTACGTATAAATAAAGGCGAGTAAACTGTGCACGGAACATTCTTTTCCCAACATGCGAAGGATGTTTATAAAATCTAACTGGGTTGTCACAAAGCAAAAGAATCCTTTGTGTTCCTAATTACTGAATTAAAAAAATTTTTTCCAATTAAGAAGAAAAGGCTCATTGATCTAGCATCGGGAAGAAATATTGGATTCCACATAAATGATTTTGCAAAGAAATTTACACATACTTCTTTACTTCTCCAAGTGTCAGTTTTCATCTTTCTAGCAGAAATCCTTTAAAAATGTATTACCTCTGCCCTTGAATTCCCTAAACAGACAGTATCACTATTGCAGACCTCTAATACTGTACCAAAAGGGCAAAGTCGCATGGTGAATAGAACCAAAACTTAAGAATGGAGTGAATCTAAGTTTGAGTCTTGACTCTGCCACTTACGATGTGAGATCCCGGAGAAGTCACTCAACCTCTCTTATGACTGCATTCTCCATCTCCTGGAACAAAGATGAATTAACTAAGTCACAGAATCACTTCTAGAGTAATAAAAAATGTTTATAAATATTTCAGCACAGCAATTGGCAAAGAACAGGGGACAAACAGAAGGGAACCATTGTTGTTCTAATGAAGCGGGCTAGTTAATGTGTGGGACTCTGTCCCTTTGGGGCCCGATGAGGTCTATTCTAAATAGCCACAACAAACTGAATTCCTTTGTCTCTAATAGAGGTTTTCTGATAGTCTTCATTTTCTGATAGCTTTTCTTTTCAAGGGTGTAAATTGGTACAACCACTTTCATTCTCTCTCTTTTTTTTCTTATTGAAGTCTAGTCAGTTTACAATGCTGTGTCGATTTCTGGTGTACAGCATGTTTCAGTCAAATATACACACAAATATATTCCTTTTCATCCTTTTTCTTTATAGGTTACTGCAAGATATTGAATATAGTTCTCTGTGCTATATAGTGGAAACTTGTTTATCTATTTTATAAACAGTTAGTATCTGCAAATCTTGAACTCCCAATTTATCCTTTCCTACCCCTTTCCTCCTTGGTAACCATAAATTTGTTTTCTATGTGTGTGAGTCTGTTTCTGTTTTGTAAATAAGTTCATTTCTGTCTTTTTTTTTTTTAGATTCCACATATAAGTGATATCATATGGTATTTTTCTTTCTCCTTCTGGCTTATTTCACTTAGAATGATGATCTCCAGGTCCATCTATGTTGCTGCAAATGGCATTATTTCATTCTTTTTTATGACTGAGTAGTATTCCATTGTATAAATATACCACAACCTCTTTATCCAGTCATCTGTCGATGTACATTTAGGTTGCCTCCATGTCTTGGCTATTGTAAATAGTGCTGCTGTGAACATTGGGGTGCATATATCTTTTCAAATTAGAGTCACTTCTGAATATACACCCAGGAGTGAGACTGCTGGATCACAGGGTAGGGGTATTTTTAGTTTTTCTTTTATTGTTGTCTCTTTCTGTTTTTAATTTGCTGTGGGCCAGAGAACCAGATACTCATAGCTGACACGTGTAGGCAGAATTTGGGGGGCTACATGATGGCACCAAGGACTCAAAAACAGCATCCTCTTGAGTTACACTTTAAATCAACACATAATAGGCAGAATAATCTTACAGAAAGAATGGCTTTCGAGCCAGGAAGATTTTATTATAACTTAGTATGAAAGCATTATTAACATCAGCTATAGAATGTCTTAGTGAGGGGAGAACTGTATTCAACCACCAAACACAGGAGAAGATGAATTAGAGCGGCAGATACGGGCAGTAATCAGGCTCCATCCAGAGGAAACTTTAGCAAAAGGACTTCGAGGATTCAGGTAGCGTTGTCAAGATCTTTCTTAACTAGAAATGGATACAGTAAGTTGTAACCTGAAGGTTTCAAATACCACGTTCACACAGAGCAGATTGTTCCCGGAGTGGAATATCAATCACGCGTTGTCCATTCTTTACTGGGCAACCACTGTTTATGCCCAGACCTCTCCCACTTGCTTTGCTCTGCGTCCCAGCTCACCCAGCAACCTGCCCATTGTAGCTGGCTTCCTGGTTAGGGCTCCCCAGGTGGGGAGAACACACTGGCCACGCCCACCTGCTAAGAGGACCATATCCCATGCTGAGTTAACAAATGGGCATTATTTGGTTGCATATCAGTCTCACAAGCTTCATTAAGGTGCGCTTGCCCTCGAAAGATAACTGTCATGTGTTTACAAAACCAGTTATCTAAGCTGGAAACATAAGGGCTCGGTCATGACCAGGTACACTCATCCCTGCCCAGGAGGCAGGTATCCTCACCTAGGGGACGGGCTGATAATGCTTCAGAGATTTATTTTGGCTTAATATTTAAATAAAAGCAGCATACTGGAAGATGTTATGCCAAAACCTCCTGCCTCACCACCCTCCTCCCTCCCCAATCCCATTCCACACTCTCCAATTCTGACTTGTAGGTCTGTCTACCTTCCATTCACAGATCACAAGAAAAGGCAGCATCCTTCAGAGACCTCATTGCCCATGGAAACCTCCCGAAAGTGCTCACGGACACCCAGCTCGTCACACTGCTGTGCCTTCTTCGCTTAGAATTTGAAAATTGCCTTCTTAGCAAATTGTCTCTCAGCAAACGTAGTTACAGCTTTAAGGGAGCCACTAGTCGTTGCCCCCGCAGAATAATTTTATTTACTTCAAAACAGCCGCCACACCTCCCCACCCCTCAGCCAACACAACAACATCGTGTTCTTCAAGGAGCCACCGTCTGAGACCGGCTTGTTAATAACAAAATTATTCCAGGTCTTAGTGTTCTCTCATCGAGGAAATAAACATCCTTTTAAGACAGACAAATCAAACGGTGTTCGGAGACCGTATTAACCACCTTGACTGTTCCCAAAAGAACAACTCGAGACACGCGGAAAGAGTGGATTTTCAAATAGGTGTTTTCTTGACCCAGTTAGGTTTTTATTCAGTGAAAAAAGTTGACATTGAGACAAAAGTGATCTTAAAACTGTGTGACAATAACAGTAAAATCTTCAGCATCAATCAAGTGATTTGGAAACTTATCAAGGCAGCTGAAATCATAAACATCTAATTTCACTTTGGAGAGAAACAAGGATACAGTGTTTCACTTCAAATAAGAGCAGAGTAGGCCTTTATTTTGCTGCAAATGCCTTTGATTTTGCCTAAAGTTTCTAATAATTCATAACAAGTCTTTCAATGAGAAATGACATGGAATCTCTGAGAATAATGTTCCTCTTCAGCCTTCAGACTTGACCCATTTGAGCTACTACACATGAGACTAATATCACTCTTGGGTTACTTGGCTCTGATGATTTAATTCATAAACATGGCTGCTCAGAATGAGTGGGCAGAAACATATCTACATCCTGTCCTCCCTTGACCCATGTTCGCTGGTGGTACCCCTTCTGAAAACATGCTTATTGTCCGTGTACCCAACAGTACACGTAACCTCTTGCCATCTGTTCCATTTCCATCTCTCAGTCTTGCATAGAAAGTAGTCTATATAAACTTAATGCACTGGCTTTTATTACACAAAAATTGTACCTGAAAGGCAGCACACACTTCCTTTAAGAAAAATAATCCAATAGGAATGTCGATACAGCCCCAACATGAGTGAAGATCCTGCACAGAGTTTTAGAGTCAGTTCCTAAAATCAATATGGAGATGGGTGTTCTGTTTGCTGATATCCCTGAATCCCTTCTCTGAGGGACCTCCCGACTCTCTGCCGAAGGAAGACAAACATCTCAGGGGTTCACCACGATGTCCTTAGTGGGAAAGTGACCAACCAAACCGGACAGGAGGATCTCACTAGATGGAGAGCGACCGCTGGGTGGAGTCTTCAGTGCCTGCCCCCCAGCAAATGTCCACGGGTTTGGGAAGGGGTACGTTCCTAAAATTGCTGAAGTAGAGCTAATCTAGTGCATCACACACGATGGGCAGAGAGAACACACAGCTTGTGTCTCACACCTGTCCCATCCAAACACCCCCAGTGACACGACCGGGGATGGAACCTGAGAAACCCCTCTTCCCAAAGTCACAAGTGCCAACCAGTTATTCAGCCTTGCAATGATCCACCCAGCCTGCCAGGGCAGCCAGCAGTCACCGACACTCCCCACCTGTCTGGAAAAGGGTCTGTGTAGGTGTGGCCTCTCCCGGACTCCTCTGCAGAATTCTACTCTGTCATTTTACCCACGTGGACCCACATCTCATAAGGCTTGAAGGGCATTCAATACATAAAGGGGCAAACCCGCTTCCAGAGAAAATCTGTACACAATCCCCCTGCCCACCAAACTGTCGCTGCCCACTCGTGGTCCATCACGGGCGCACGAACGTGGGCTTCTGACATTCTAGTGCATCCTGGGAGGAAATAAAACCTTTTCCCTGTACAGTGTGAACTTTGGAGGTAGCACCTCCAACGAGGTACAAAAGCCCCTTCCTTCTTCCTTAAACAACCAGGGGCTCCAATTGGTCACAGTGAAGACAATGATCTGGTCACCTGCAAAGGCTCCATGCAGTTTTTCTTCTCATTCTCTATGGTCACTCCAACCTCTGGACTCTTGCAGACGGCATATACATATACATCCAAACCTCACAGCGCTGCGCAGAGGGGAGTAGAGTGCATGCTTCAAGAGTTCATAAAAATATACAATTTACACATAGCTGCATCTATTCAGGAACTTAGCTCTTCTGTTTATATAAAATACTCTAGCCCTAAAAGGCTGCTTTTCCTCAAACAGCCCAGTGGCATTTTCCAAGGAGAGGGGTGATGGCCAGTGTGTACAGTACGGTGCACTAAGCATTGGGAGGCACTGGGAGTGAGAACTGGATGCTCAGAAATAGCTCAAGTTGCCAACTGGAGACATATGCTCTGTACAAAGGCTTGCCTGTGGGAAAAATGAATATAAAGTCTCAGAGCCTTTTATATCAGCTTTCACAAATGCCACCAAAAAGTTGGCAGAAAAAAGAAAGGAAGAAAAAACACTTTCTAGTTGTTCGATTAAATGACTTGCCTCCCACCAGATCGTTAACCTTTCAGTTACTTAAAGTGCTTATTAAAGGGGACGTGGTGGGGCCTGAAGTTTTGCGGAAAACTCCAAAGTAAGACAAGATAAAGCCAACGAAACTCCAGTCTTTAAAAAGATAACACAGGAGAGAGAGAGGAAAGAAGAAAAAACATGCTGGAAGGGAGGCTCATTATTTTTACAACCTCTTGTTGAAATGATACGGAGCCTCACCCACACGACATCCTGAACGTGTACAAGTGAAAACACTCCGCCATCAAAATATACATATATACACAAATAAAATTTTTAAACTTAAAAAAATTTAATCAGCTCTTTGTTTCCCAAACACTCCCTAGGTAGAACAAAACTATATTATCACCCAAGAATGATACTTTTGGTGAAAAGAAAGCAAATACTTCGTGAAGGGGATGCAGTACATCTAAGAGGAGATGGGGTTGTGACGAAGCTTGCGGATGAAGGACACACACGCAGAAGCATGACTTTCCCCCCCGCCCCGAGCTCACTGCTTCTCAGCTGGGGTGCATACAGTAGGCGTCACACCAATGCTAGGCGCCGGTGCTTCCAACACTAGCTCTAAAGCGTGGGCATCAGTCTCCAGCGGATTCCACATACCTACCAAGTGGCCACTGCTTGAATACAGGGGAGGCACTGAAAGGCAGAGGGAGACAGCCCAGCTGATTTGACAGAGAACATGAACTCTGTAGTGTCCGCTGTGGGCTGGGCTGAAGGGTCTCAAACTCGGGCATCTCCTGCATCTCTGTTAAGAGTAAACAGTGCTTTCTCTTTAAATTGGGCGGGGGCTCGGGGGATGGGGTCCAGGCAAGGGAGGTGAAAGAAGAGAAGAAAGAAGCAAGGAAGGCACTGACCCAATTCACAATGACTGCATATATCAGGATGGGTTTTTAAGGACAGTAAGAGGCCACCTCAACACAAATACAAAACTTTACATTCGAGATTCTTCAGTGGTAAGAACAAACAACAACAAAAACAACAAATCAAACAATCAGAAAAGGAAAAAACTAGGTACCATATCTGCCAGTGTAGCTATCATGGCACAGATCTAGAACTCTCTCCCACAACCAGAGCGAATTTCTGCAACGACAATGACACCAGTGTACAATAAAGCAGTGTTATCATGTTGCAGCTTGGAAAGCTACATCTTGTACAGAGGCGTGTCCAGCAAGTGTCCATCGATTCATGTAAGAGAGGAAGCTGTTGCTTGCAGGGCTTCTCAGGCTGCAACTCTTGTTTAATTGAAACGGAGCAATGACTCACTATGCTCTCCTGCCAAATACCACTGGGTGACACACGGGTGAATAAAAAGGGATTGTATCTGCAATGGTGACAAAACAGCTTCTGTTCCTCGCCCCCCAAGCCTTGCAGGCGAGGGGCTCATAACACGTGCGGTGTCAGATGATCACTAAAGCCTTGCCCTATACAGAGTCCCAATAAATTAACAAAATAACATAGAAGAACCTTGCCCCCATCACTCACCCAAACACTTTCACAGCAACTAAATGCAAACAAAGCTTTAGACTTGAGCATACTTTCAAGGAGCAGCGGTTCTGCCCGTCACTCTCTCTTGATGTTTTTATTAAACACATTTCTGTGTTTTAGAAAAATAAAAAGAATGACCAATTTATTGAACCAAAATTATCTCACAGACTTAAAAGCATGCCCAGTAAGCACAGCCCTGGAAGACGACACTAATATCAAATCAAAGCAGTTTGGTTACTAAAATCAACCTGGTTTGAAGTTCACAGTTGATTCCAACAAAGTTTATTCATTCTTTTCTTTCCTTTTTTTTGTTCTGTTTTGTTTTCTTTTTGGCCCATATAAAAATAACATGTTGCAACTCAAAGTGCATCTTTTAAAATAAACCATCAACTATCTTTATCAAATAAAATATTTACACCATTTGGTTTCTAGTGAGGAAAGCCTCTTCAGGCTATCACCATGGGGACGTCGTCGGAAAATCCAGTTATCATTGGAGCATCTTCATCGTCCTCCCCTAAAGGCAAAACCATCGGTCCTCGATGAGTTCCAGCACACTTCCGCCCAGCCCCACCTCCCCCGCTGCCCCCCACCCCTGTCACAAACGAGCCCCAGCCAGAAGAGTCAGCACCAGAGCCCACAGGCATAATCATCGATGCTGAAACCAGCCCGGCTTCTCTCTGACACCCTTGGGTCCCTGTTCCCCATCAACGGGCGGCCAAGCCTATTTCAGTGGTGGTTTGAACCAAACAAGGAAAGTAAATCTTTTAAGGAGGAGGATTTTATTACCTACCCAAAAGTCCGATGGGCGGTTTTAGTTGCCCAGTTTGAGTTATCCACACCCCGTGCTAGCAGAGTAAGTGAACGTCACCGTCTGTTCTCTCCTCTGAACCCACACTGCTCACGAAGAACAGGGTCGTAGAGGGGCTTAGGCACTTGGAGGACAGGCTCCCAGACTAGTGGCTGTCCCTCCGTGGCCCCTGGTACCATCCTGTGCATCTAAGTGCTGACCCGCATTCAATGATCATTACTCAGCACCAGGGTGGGTGGACACCTCTCGCCCCCAAGAACAGAAGCCAAGAACCCACCTTCTTCATGCAAGGCAGCCCAAGCGCTTGTAAGAAAGCAAGAAAAGAGACAGAAGAAAAGGGAGAGGAGCTACTATCAAGTCACCAGTGAGAAGGGAATCCAGAAATGTCTTTATAAACAACAACAAAATTGCAACTAGCTTACAGGAAAGATAAATATGTTAAAAAAAAATCAACTTACATTCAGCAGTCTGAGTTTGGACAAGCCTGAGTTTGGGGAAGGTCCCAAAACATACGGACTTAACTGTACTTAGGGAGTGGCCTACTAGCTCTATGAGCGTTCGGCTACCGCAGCGTGCAGGCAGCTCTAAAAGGGACTTCTTCCTTCTCCCGGGCCACGTGCTATCGACAGGGAAAGAACTGAGGGCATGCTAGCAATCAGGAAGAGAAACGGCAAGATGGAAAGGGTTTCTTTGGACAGAAGCCCATGGGAAAAGCACAGCTTTCTGTCTTGACTAAAATCTCCAGAGACGTCAGACGTCTAGGCCTGGGAAGGATGAGAGGCGCTGAAGATTCTTGAGGATCTGCCGATACCCTGGGAATACCTGAAGTGCACGGTCTATCCCTCCTGCCCGTACAAGGCAAGCTCCTACCTGTCCTTTGACAAAACTCCCCGTCTCGGGCCAGAAGCGCACTATTGACGAGAATACTGGTATTTTAATTTAGGAGTGATTTCAAAGCAAAGGGCTCCAACTGATTCAACCCAAAGCAGGGGGATCGCTGATGGATGAACCGTCAAAAGATGAGCTCAAGGAGGGGAGGTGTAGCTCAGGGGTAGGCGGGCTTAGCATGCACAAGGTCCTGGGTTCAATCCCCAGGACCCCCAGTCAATCAGTAAACCTAATTACCTCCCCCCAAGGACCCCTGTGGGGTCCGCCCCCGCCCCACTCACCCAGGTCATCCCCGGAGGAGAAGATGGCCGAGCCCAGCCTGGAGCTGTAGTGGCTGTTGGCGAACGCCGTGAAGCTATTCTGCAGCCGCCGGTGCTTTGTGTACAGGATGGCAAACCCGACGCCCAGGCTCAGCAGGATCAGGAACAAGACGGGCACCACCACGGCAGCCACGTCGGTAGACCTGGCAGCCTGGATCGCTGACGTGTCCCCACCTGCGGAGGCACGAGGCCAGCCCGTAAGCCTCCTACGAAAGGGCCACCCCGCAACACCCCACCCACCAAAAAAGCTAAGCGACCGCCACCCAGATCTCCTGCCGGGGGTGGCACGTTCCTGCACGCGACGCCCGAATGTTTCCCGGAGCCCTTGCCTCCAGCGGACGGAGTGCAGGCCTCGTGCATGCAAATACGGTAATTACATCAGGCTCCTAATCACTGCCTCGTTGGTTATTTAGATAATCTCTTGGAAGGGAGACCTTTGTTGGGGTATCAACATTGATTTCATTAGCATTATTACTTAAGACCACTTGCTTGGCTCACATAAGAGGATGTGAAATCAGACCACTAATTAACGAGATTGCAATTATTTCCCCCTACTTGGCACCAAAGTCACTCTGAACTGCAATTACCTGAAGCTCCATTAAGTGATACAAACGAGATTCCTTCAGTGCAGTACTGACTTAACAGCTCATGAAGTTTTATGAGGTTCTTTTTTTTTTTTTTTGACTTAAACAGAGTGAGAGAGAGACCCTTTCCTTATACATTTAACATTTTTTAAAAGCTCTTTGCAAGGCCATTTTGGGTGTCTGTAACCTAACAGTGATGCTCCCTTCCCACTGCCTTAAATATTCGCTTTATGATGATGCACTGATAAGAGCTGTAGCGACAGGGGTCTGGGGCAGAGCCATCTCGTTGTCGGGTGAAAGACAGGCTTCCTGGAAGGGGTAGATTTTTATGTCAGAAATTCTGGGGAACTTCTGAGCTCGAGGCAGGAAACCGGCTCCTGGGAGCCAGTTTTAGCCAAGTAAGCAACATGGACTTTCTAGATCCCCACAAGGAGCCTGGCTAGGCCTGAGGCTGTCCCCTGGTGAGGGCGAGGTGCTGCGGGCCAGCCTCTGCGCATGGAGGAAGCTCAGTAACTACCCAGGGATTCAGCCCAACAGGTGCTCATAGATGGGCCAGACAGCAGCCATTTCCCACAAGCCTGACCTAACAATTCCATACCCACATCTTTACCTTCCTTCACTACCGACTTACCGGGGAAAACTCTACCCCCTCTTATTTCCCGTGTCTCTACCTAATCCCAACTGCGAAGTGGTACACTGGGGGAACGCCCTGGGCTGGAGCAGTCAGGAAGCCAGCCTGGCAGAAGCGACAGGAATCCGTGAGTTTCCGCCCCCGCCCCACTGGCACAGGGGCGTGACCATCAGGGGGCAGGACGTGGACCAGGGGGTCTACCTGAGAGATGCTCCTGCCTGACAATCTTGGTTTTACATAGGCAGCTGGCAGATGGCCCCACAGCAGTTTCCCGTAAGTCTACTTCACAGGTTTCTGATTGGCTTTACTAAAAAGGAGGTTCTATTTAGTAAGAGTTGAGTTGTTTTTTCTGTTGGGACCTTCTCAGAGCCTCAGTTCTCCCTCTTTCAGGGAGCTGCCAAGGGTAAGTATTCGACTGGAAGCCACCCCAAGAAGCGTGGAGGAACATACAACAGCTCTAACATAAGACTTTGAGCTTAAGCGCTGGTTAGTTCTTGGCTGGGGGAAGGGGAACTAAAACAACCAGCGGCAGAATGTTGTTGAAATCCCGGCAAAGCTATCAATACGATCTGAGCAGAATTTCTGGGCAAGTGGAAGGTTCCTCTCCTCTGCCATCAGCATGGCCCAACACGGCCATCTGCAAGTGTCCTGAAGACAGGGACCCCAGACCAAGCTCAGCTTCTGAGCTGAGGCCGACCGCAAAGATGAAGGGGACGGCTGTGAAATCAGTTACTCTGCGATGAGGTGATCTGCTGGCTTGGAGAATCACAGGGAATATTAGCCTGTTAGAGGCTCTGAACGGTCCTCCAAAAATGAACAAAACACATTGACCCAGTGCTTCCCAAACAGAATCTCCTTTTTCAACAAAACCTCCCTTTCTTCTGTTTTACATTCAGAATGTGGTCACCCTGTAATCCCAGCTCCTCACCCCATGCCTGGCTCAGGAAGTATTTGTTAAATAAATCAGTGCCTAATTAAACTGATGCATAAATGGTTTTCTTTTGAACTGCAAGAACATTTTAGGTGCATGTTAGGAACAC